AAGCAACCTTCTTAAATGACATTAGCCTTTAGCTGACATACAACCACCAGCAAAATGCCAGGGCGTCCGTCAGTGACATATCAATGTTTTCTGCTGCCACAGACTCTCAAAGGGAGAAGGTGGGTTTGCACAAATTCCCACAACACAGCCATGCTGGAGACAGCACAGCAAGAAAAGCTCTTGAAGACACTAACCCCATTACAGTCTTTTATTATTTCTCTCCGCTAACTGAGACAAAATATTTCTTTATGCATTTATTTCCACATTTCTGTAAAAAAGAGTGTACATAAGCATCAAGCCATGGAGAAGGCTTCTTTTTTATCTGCTCCTTATCTCTCCATAATGTTTGTTCTCATGCGATATTTTTTGCAGCATATAAAAAACTAAAAAAAAGCTTAAAGAGCTGGGTAGGAGCATCCAATTGAAGGATGCTCTAAAATAGAGAACTGAACACGCAAAAAAAATTTCTCTTTTGTCTGTGAGGAGCTGTTGTGAGCAAACAAACATTTTTCTTTTTATTTTGTATTAAACTTCATGCACATGGGGTACTGGGGAGTTGAAGGTCTTGAGAATCAATTAGATTTTCTCATTAAGAAGAAATTTCTGTAATGACCACAACCAGAGAATAAGGGGAAAAAAAAAAAAAACAACAACAAAACAAAATGTCACGTTTAGTGAAGTGTGTGAGTTGTATTTAGATTTCGGATTTGAGGAATATAGGGAGAACAGTACTGAACATGGGTCATGCTATTTGGGGAAAAAATTAGTGTTGAGTTTTGGTGATTAGGCACTTTGGTGTTGAATGATCTCTGATGAGGAATGGTATCAGAAGACTGATGGATTTCAGTCCACTGGTACTCTGCAGAGTGAGTGAGGTGACTCCTCTGTACTCCCCGAATGCCTGATGGGTCTTCCCTGACCCCTTTGCAGAATCCATAGGGTGTCACTGCAAAGGAGCCTGCAGTCTCACCTCCAGTCTGTAGTCCAAGGGGACACAGGCATATAGGAATAATAATAGAGTAAAAGATTTACATAGTCTTTCCTCTATCTCACTCCCCCACCCAATTTTTCATTTCATATCACTCTCCCCTGTTGCCAAGAGGAGTTTATCTATGGTGTTTGATAAGGGAGCACTAAACACATTATAGTGCTATTTTAAATGACATCACAACTAACTAGATATTTTAATTGAAGGTAAATAACCAACATTATTGCCTTTTGAATGATAGCAATAGTGGAGAGTAATGGCACCACTGAGGAATCAATCGCTATTTCCCTCATAAACCATAAACCATTCAGAGATTTATAATGCTTTTTTAATGATCAGCCCTTCTAGGTGTTGAGCAGCTCCTCCGAGATCCTGAGTCTTCTGGCTGCCTGCAGAAGTCAACAGGAATGGGGAGCAGGGGGTCTCAGTATCATATCTTTATGCCCACCAGGATAAAACTCGTCACACCAGTTATCAGCCTCAAGCAAAGGAAAGCTTGGGATTTTACTGCACTGCTCTGATACCGTGTGCCCCAAGCTTAAAAACGAGGACACTTGACTCAACCACTGTTTCATAACCTGCTTAAAAATAAAAATGCATTGTGCATTTGTGTGCATTTCATGCCCTCTTAAGGTAGGTATAGCAAGTAGCCTTGTGTAGGAAACCACACTGATTGCTTGCTTCCCTCTGCGCACCTGAATGAGCTCCCTTCAAATTTTATCTGTCCAGAGACAATTTTATGTAATGCAGTACTATCCAATGCACTGGTTGGTTCAGTGGCATCATATCGTGCACAAACATCTGTGGATCCAGAGTGCTGTCAGAGGAAATGTCATGGATTCTGTGCTTGGAAGGACTGTCCCCCTTCCCGGGTGCCATGACTCCAGAGACAGTGATAATGTCTCAGGTTTATTTTTTTCAGCTGGTGTCAATGGCATATTCATATACTCAGACCCATGCTGACAAATTCAGACTCCTTTACTCATTCTCAGTAAATTCAGTGGGATTGTCTTCATGACAAAGGGGACACAAGGCCACTCATTACATTTTCATTTTTATCTTGCTTTTCTTTGGTTTTGAATCAAAAGCAACTTTTTTAATCTTCAGAGAGCACCTATAATGTCATCTGAACTCATCAATTCTCTTTTAATGGACCAAACTGGTACATTCAGACATTATCAAGGATCTTGATTATTATTATTACAAGAGTTGGTTATAGTAGAAATGAATCTTGACTTTGGATGTGGGAAGAGAGCACAGAAAAATCCAGCCAAGATAGATAAACTCCTCCAGCCAGCCAGAAAGGGACCACATGTTTAAAGATGCACATAATTTATTTAAAAATACAAACTTGGTCTGGTGAAAAACAGAAGCATTAATCCCTATGTACTCATGTCATGAAAAATATTGCTATTAATAGGACAAAGGCATGAACAATAGCCACTGTCCCTCTTTCTTGTGTAAAATCCTCCTTAGGGATGAAGAGTTTCATTATGCCTACCTAGATGGATAACATTCTGAGGTTTCCAGCCCATTTCTAAAGCAATTTACTTAGCACATCCAATCTAAATTTTGAAAAAGCAGCCGAGTCAACCCACTCCCATTTAAGTCAATGACAAAACTCCCATTGACTTCAAGGAGAGCAAAAGCAGACTGGTTGTTGACAGGGAATTGGTGCCTATTGTTTAGCCTAGCATGTCGGACTACCACGTATCAGCTTCATGAGTATCAAAGGGAGTTACTAGAGGAAATCCCCTGAATATTTATACGGTAGTTGAAGGGGAGAGCTGTTTTTCCCTCTTCCACATATCTCTACTGTGATATGTTAGCTACCTGAAAGCACACAATCTTCTTGCAACTTCAGACCCTCAGATTTTCCTTTGTATCCTTTGCAGTGGAAGAAACCAGATGGAAAAAGAGGTCTGAGGCATTTCATGGTTCTTCATGAATTTCCAGAAATAATGAGTCATCTTCAAGAACTAGTGTGGTCTCGGTGGATTTGCTATAGTGCTGCTACAGAGTGCGTATGTGTGCGTGTGTCTGTGTGTGTGTGAGTTTGTACAGAAATAATCTGTCCAAATTAGCTTTGGGAGAACTAAAGGGGAACCAGTTACATGTCGGGGTTTCCCAGAGATTTCCAGTGAGATCAGAGGAGCTCCCAGAAGGGATTCAGTACAGATAGAACAACCCAATATTACAGTGTATCAAGTTTCACACAGATTTCGATTAAAAGGAACCAGCAACATTGGAGCCTGAACACTCACGTCATTTACAACTTTATTTTCTTTTTTAGACAGCACATCAAATCTGTCCATATTACCAGGACTCTGGAAGACAGACAAAGTAACCATAATGTATGCTTTAAGGCCCGTGCCTGCAAGGAAACTGCAAGGAGAGGAGTTTCACGGGATAAAAGCAATGACTGCAGCAGAATTGAGATCATCCAGCCGACAGCTAATGGAAATACATCTTCCCATCACATCGTCATAATGTAGCATACAAATCTAGACCTCAGTCTAGATTTACACCTCAAAGATTTATGCCACGCACTTAGATTTTGTGCTGAGTGGAGCCTAACTGCCATGGATGGCACTGGCAATGTGGGACAAAATAAGGAAAACAAAGAGTGTGAGTATTTGTAAGCAGAGCCTCAAAACATATGTTTTTAAGGGGAGAGAGAGAACGTGAGTGCGCTTCATTATACGCTTCAGATGATCCAGTCTCACTGCTCATTCAAGTTCTGAGTTTGACAGCTTCCCACTGTATCCTTTTATATATCACCCGTTGTGACTAAGCTTTGAGGGGACATGTAATCATTAATCACCTTTATGGATTTCTTCCTTTCTGTTGGGTTTGACTTACAAGCTTAGGGGCAGATCCTGCAGCCTTTACTCGTTCCTTCACTCTTTTGCCCAAGCAGTCAGCCCTACTTCGCTCACGGAGAGCTCGAAGCTCTGCAGCATCTGTAGGATCGGGCACCAAGTTTTTTACACTGGCATCCCATTCAAATACACAGGCTCTTAATCCTTAGCAGGAATTAACAGGAAGTTTCAACACTGCATTATTAAATTAAAAGGTTACAATCTGCCACGAGATGACTTAAGCAGGACTCAGGAGTATGTGTCTGTTAATTTTAATGCTCTGTCTCAAAGTACAGAACTCTGGACATTTCCAGCATCATATTTTAAACATGGTACATCTACTAATACGTGATCTGGTGCATTAATGGACCAAATTAAGTTACAGGTATGAATTTTACATAAAACGGATTAATATTATATGTCATGGAGGAATTTTAAATACTCCATCTCCATGCATTTTTAATAGTTATGTGCTCTAATTTAATGTTCCCTGGCATTGCTTTGCTTGCAGTCCCTAAACCCTCCTTCTTCCTTCCCACACCCCCCTCCCTCTCAAGTTTTGCTTGGGATTTTCCTTGCCTTTAAACCAGCATCCCCAAGTCCCTCAAAAAATGTGGAGAGCCGGGATGAGTCTCCTACACGGAGAGGATAACAACGCGTTTCACGACCCGAGGAGAGGCCACCCCTCCCGAGGAGAGGGATGTGGGGTTGGAGGCGGGGGGCGCGGGTGCAGCCACCTTCCCCCGGGTCGGGCGGCGGGGAGCGGCGCCGGCCGCGCGGGGCTGCGCTCGCCCCTGCGGAGCTGCGCGCCGGACCGTGGGGACGGCGCCGGGAGCCGCTGGGCGGCGGGTCCCGCCCGCATTCCCGCAGTCCTTCCTCCTCGGGACCGCCCCCTCCTCCTCCTCCTCCTCCGCCGCCGCCGCCGCCGCCCCCCCCCTCCTCCCCGGGAGGGTCCGCGCGCGCCTCCCGTGCCCCCCCGGCCCCGTCGCCATTGGCTGGCGCCGCGCTCGGGAGGGGGGAGGCCGCGTCCTGATTGGCTGCGGCGCGGCCCCGCGGCGCCCCCCGCTGGCCCGGCCCCGCCGCGGTGCCGCCCCCGCCCCGCCCCCCCGGCGCCGCCCGCCCCGCCCGCGCCCCGCGCTATAAATTGGGCGGCGCGGCCAGCAGCGGCGGTGGTAGTGGTTTGTGCTGGGAGGCTGTCGAGGGAGAGCAGTTTGTGTTTCATTTTAATTTTCTTTTCTTCTTTTTTTTTTTTTTTATTCTCTTCTTGGTGGTCGCGGCGCCGCCGTCGTCGCGCGGCTCGGCGAGCGCCTCTCGTTGCAGCCGCGGGGCGGCCGCCGGTACCGCCAGCGAGGCGCTGCGGCCGCGCTCCGCTCCCGGTGCGGGCGGTGCGTGCGCGGCTTCGCGAGGTCGCAGCAGCAGCAGCAGCAGGAGGCGGCGGCGGTGGTGTTGGTGTAGAGGGAGGTCTCCTTCCCTCCCTCCCTCCCTGCGGCACCATGAAAGCCGTGAGCCCCGTCCGGCACCCTAGTCGCAAGGCGCAGCCCGGCGTGGCGGGCGGCGGAGGCGGGGGGCACCCAGCCCTGCGGTGCCTGGCCGAGCACAGCGGCTGCAAGGGGGGCCCGCCGTCGGGCGAGGAGCCGGCGGCGCTCTGCCTGCAGTGCGATATGAATGACTGTTACAGCCGGCTGAGGAAGCTGGTGCCCACCATCCCGCCCAACAAGAGGGTAAGCAAAGTGGAGATCCTGCAGCACGTCATCGACTACATCCTCGACCTGCAGCTGGCTCTGGAGACGCACCCAGCGCTGCTCCGGCAGCAGCCGCCGCCACCCGCCCTCCACCCGGGCAGCTGTCCTGCGGGTACCCCCAGGACTCCGCTGACAGCCCTCAACACTGACCCGGTAAGAGGTGCGTGACACACGATCCCGGGGAGCGGGGTGCGGGACAGAGCGGCGTGGCCTAGTGGTCAGCGCTGGCCGCCGTGGGAGCACCCTGGTGATGCATCGCCAATGACAATCCCCTGGCTCTGCCGAGGGGTCGTAGTCCCCGGAGGGGACGGGGCGGACGGGAGCAGGAACGCCTTGGCTGTATGCGGTGGGTGCCCGCATCCATTCTGTGTGTACCCTGTAATTACAGCCTCTCGAGGGAGTAGCTGTAGCCGGCGTGTTTGCACACACGGGAGGAGACGCGCTGCTCCTGCGCTTCCCACCCTTCCGCGCCATGTAGCGAGTGTGAGGGGCTGTGCACATTGAACGCAGCGTGCTTTGCGGGGGTGGAATCGGGGAATGCTTCCCTTCCACGGGAACACCCGGTGGTTGCCCGGCGGCGCTGGAAGCGGTGTGCCCCGGCAACCCCCTGCCCCCGGGGCTCTCCCCCACCGGCAGCGGTGCGGCGGCCCATGGGCTCTGTCCCACCGTGCGGCTGGGGAGCCCTGAGCGCTCCCCGGCGGGGCTGTGGCAGTGCCTGGTACGCGGAGGAGGGCAGTCTGGGGCGAGGGGGGTGGTCTGCGTGTCCTTTGCCCCCAGCTCTAATTTGCCGTGTTTGGTTGCTGCGCAGGCAGGCTCTGTTAACAAGCCGGGGGACAGCATCCTCTGCCGCTGACCGCCGCTCCCCAGGTGAGTGCCGGGCGGGCGCGGGGCCGGGGGCGGGCGGGGGGAGCGCAGCGCCCGGGCTCGGCGGGGCCGCACCGCATCCCGCTGGGAAGCCAGCCGAAGAGGGACCAGAGGCCGGCGAGAAATACTTGCAGGAGGCTTTGGGGTTTTACTTTTAATTACCGGGTGGTTATTTTCTTTAATTACCGGGTGGTAATTTTTTCTTCTTCCCCCCTCTTCCCCCCCACAACGTCCCCCCCTCCCCCCGGAGCGCCTCTGGCTGCGGCGTGCAGCTGCGCATCCCTCCCTCCGCCTGGCCCAGCCTGGGAGCTGCGGTTGTTGTTTGACCTGGTTTGTTTTGGGTTGTTGATCAAGCATGTCTTGTGTTTTGTTGGTGGCGCCAGTCGGTCTGGAGCGGAGCGGTTCACACACCCCCTCTATTCATTCCTCTCCCACAGGTGTGCGGCGGTGCCGCGCCGCGCAGAGGCAACGGGGGGCGGGCGGCGGCGGGGGGGGCCCGGCCCGGCCCCGCCGCACCGGAGGAAGGAGCCATCCAACCCCCCCGAGCAGTTCCCATGCTTCACCCCGCAGAGCCAAGCCTCTTCACCATTTTGCACGTCCGTAGCGGTCCCCCCACCCCACCCCCCGTGTTTGGTTTTGTTTTTTTTTTTTTCCCCCTTCCCTGGTTCTGTCTCTTCTCGTCGTTCCCGGCCAGCTGTGAGCGGCGGCGTGTCCCGCGGTGGCAGCAGGAAAAGTTGCGACTCTGCCCCGGGATAGAGGACCGAGCCTAAAACCAGACTTTAGAAACCTTGTAACTCTTAAGGGACCGAGCAGCCGAATTTTGAAGCTTTACTAATCTACCAGAGCATTTGTAGATATATTTGACATCTATTGTTTAAAATAGATGGATTTTATTGGGGCCCAGGGAACTTTCTTCTCCCTGCAGGAGTGTTACATATTGTATAGACAAATGAGTGACATTTCATACTGTGTATATATAGAGATGTTCTATGAGTGTGAGAAAAGTATATGCTTTAATAGACTACTGTAATTATAAAATATTTTTAATTAAATATTTTTTTGTAAATATTATAAAGGTGTGTATGTTTTTTTTTAATCTGTGGGAATATCTCTTTAGAAAACCACAGCTCAAGTACGGAGCTGCTAATATGGAAGTATCTTGAATGTTTAGGACTTTTTTTTTTTTTTTTTTTTTTTGTCCCCAGATGTCCTTTAGACTCAAAAGTTGCAGCTATAGCTAGTGGTCCTGCATGATTGCATGAGATGTCTAATTGCGAATAAACTTGTTTGGAGTCCATACAAACGTGTTTTCCTTGATCTGGACTGAAAATGTTTGTAAGTGTATTATACATTGAGACTACACTTTTGTCATTTAGACACAGGGGTTTTTAGTGCATTCTATTAAAGTAGCAGTAAGATGTAGTGGTTTTTACTGAGAATAGAAAAAACAAATTCTATCTAGTTTTTTTGCATTATGGGGGCGATGCTTTAGATCTCTAATCTGCTTTTTTTTAAAATCTGCTGTTGCATCAGATCAAGAAACTTGTTCTGGAACTTCACTTAGCACCAAAATGTTTTATTGCAAACTTGTGTTCCTACAGCTTATTATTGCTTAAAAACTGAAAACAGTTCTCTGCTTGCAACCAAAGGGCAAACCATTAACAAAAACAGTTGCTGATTCTTTCATCCAAAGAGTATTAATAGCTAACTGCAGAAAGGCACATGAGCAAAGTTGTTACGATCAGTGATGTAAATTCATTTTAAAATGAACTTAAGTAGACCAAAAATCGGATAACTGCGTCAAGATTATTTTTCTAGTACAAAATGACTTACATTTCACTGCAGCTATGTTACAGTTCAAATCCTGTTTAATCTCTGTGATGTGTAACTACTACATGTGAACATTAAACTAGATTTACCTGTCTTTAACTGTGATTCTTCAGCTTATTTCTTCAATCCTCTGAATTTGCACATTCTCCTCACTTGTTGTCTGTATACCATTTGACGGGTGAATTAATTTTACAGCAAGCTCTTGTACAATCAGTCTTGCTGACTGCAAACTCATGTCCAGACTCAGTGAAAGTTGCTCATCTTGTGTGATCCATAGCTTGCGCGCTAGTGAAATGGGATTTTCAGAGTGGGAGAATTAAGTAGGATTTAATTGGGTGCTTTGTAAATAGCTAGCCAACTGTGTGTGTAACATGGTCTGTTTGACTAAAAAAAGAGGATTTGTTTCAGATTATACAAGTGTCAAAAGTACTATAACCCGAGGGACGACTTCTATTAAGTTAAATATTTATAAGGAAATTAACTACTAGGGTCATTAGCTATTGAACAGAGTGATAACGTCAACAAGATGAACATTTTCTTTATCAAAATAATTGCGTAAAGATCAAATCAAAAAGTGGCTAACATCTGCAAACACAAGGCCGCCTGTCACTGCAAATGCTTTAAAGGCGTGGGCATTTTAGAGACTGAGTGTGGATTTCAGGGAGGGGGAATGGGTCCCTCCATTGTATTCCCCCAGCTCTGCTGTTGCAGTATTAAGCAGTTTAGTGAGCAAAATACATGTTCTTGTAAAATTTAATCGTGAACCCCTCATCCTGTGTCTCAAAATATTTCAGTGACAGTAAGAATGCTATCAATAGCTTTTTTACTGCACTTTGCGAATTCTCAATTTTTTTTCCAAAGGACTGGTTTAAATTTACATTATTTTCTTGGTTTATCTTCCTAATATTTGTAGTCTTCTGCTTACTTCAGCCTGCACAGCTCAGCTTATTTTGTATACAGTTTTTCAGTAACATTGGTTCTCAATACCCTTGTTTGTATCTATCCACTCTTGCCAGTTTATAGTATTCTGTTACACAGAAGAGGAGGCAAGCAAAAAGGTGCTGTCTTGAAATACAAAACTACCATGTAGAGTTTCCAAGTATCAAAGCTGAGGTATCCTGGCAGAGCTGGTAAATTACTGAGCCACTCTCCACGGGAGTACCAAACCCCAGATTGTTTCAGGTCAGGGTGATGTGCCATTGAGTTCAGTGGCTGAAGGATTTGCTTTTGCTTTTTTAAAAACTGTTGCGGTGCAACAAGTTAGGACCTTCAGAAAATGAAGTTTTACTAAAGAGCTCTGAAAATTTTTCTAGTTATAAATACTACTCTTAAGAAATGGGAAAGCCCGCATCTAACACTCAAAAAAGGTTCTTACCAGACCACTGTAGATCCTGGTCTACTTATGCTATGTATGAAATTGTAAACAGAGAATATCTAATCACGCGCTTCCTAATGGCTGGGATCAGTACAGTACTAAATGCAACCGTAATTATTTTTGTTTTCCAAGGATTTAAGAGTATTTAATTTTATCATAGTCCCGTATCTTGTTTAAATCATGTTTTCCATATAGCAAAAGGCGTAAATGTTTGAATAAAGGCAAATTAAAAGGACTCTTTCTTCTAATGCCTGGATTTTCTCTTAGTCACAAAAGCATTCCTTAAAAGGAGCTTTTTGATTGCGTGATGAGAGTTGTGGTGAGGCTGCCAGATTAGGAATTAGGATACCAAATTCTGTTCCCAGCTCTGCTACTGAGGCTCTTTTGTGACCTTGAGCAAGTCACCGGCTGTCAAACAATCTTTCAGTTTTCCACTTGTACCGGTGGCAACAAGCACTCATCTTTGTAGAAGCAAGGAGATCATACAGGCAAAATGTGTTCCTGTTTTATCGTCTTTCTTAGGGGGATTAAGTTTTGAGTAAGGAAGCATGGAGAAAGCTGGGGTGATTACCAGGAAAGCCTTCCTGAGGAGGAGCTGGTTGGGAAATACACTGCTAGTAGAGGCTGCAAGAAACCTCTTGCATGGGACACTGAAATTGTAAAGGACTAGAAAATGGTCTCTAGGAGGAATAGATAAGGGAGGTAGGTATTTTCCATGCTTAACTCGCATTCTGTCTGCGGAGCACAGCGATGGACACTCTTAATACTGCATGTTCATTTTGGTGAGCTGCAGCACGGACGTCCCAGTCCTTGCAGATGCTGAGACTTCCCTCTGAAATTTCAAAATTATAGGAAAGGTTCATTCCACATTAAAAGCCAAATGCCAGCTCTTGTGGCATTTTTCCTCCTGTTTCACACGGGAATGGTATTTATCTTCACTTTATAAACCATGTAGTGTTCCTTTTAAGCAGTTGCATTTTCAGCCACAAGCGAAGCGGTCATAAGGAATGCCATAGCTGTCCTGCTGGTTGTTCCGAGAGTTAATGAATAAACCATGTATAGGATAAACAGGTTTATGCAAATCCAGAGCAGCACTTTACTATTATTTGTATTTTCAAGGCTTTTGTAGCTGTAGAAGTCACAGTTTTGTAAAACCTTTGCAGTTGAAAAAAAGAAACCATGATACAAGTAATTCAAGTAATTGTTTTAGATGCAGCACAATTTACTGGCTTCTCCAATAGCAAGGCTTGTGATACTGAATAGTGTGCTTCCAAAACAGTATTGAAAATGTTCTGCTCTCCAGTCCCAGAACATGTGACCTCAAAACACAGGCTAAATATATTTCCCCATACAACTGCTTGCTTTTTTGCTTTAGAGAATCCACCCTTTACTCTTTTCCCCGGAAAGAGAAAACTTGCATGCTGTGCCTGCCAGGAGAACCTGCTTTCCTAAATGCCCAGAGCAGGCATGCACACACCAGCCCTCTTGAGCACATCAGAGCTGACCTGGGGACTGGGCACCCTGGGGCTTTGCAGCGCTCCGAAGCTTGGCTATGGGCAGTTGCCAGCCAGATGCCAGCACCATGTGGGCCAGAACCAGTCTCTGAGCCACCATGTTCTGTCCACGCCCCCTTGACAGATACCTTTTTCTCCTTCACGGCCTGAAAAATAAAATTTGCAGGGACCAGGCTATGGCATAGAGTGCTGTGTGATCACAGCAACATGGACAATAAGGGGGAATTTTCTAAATTGGCATCCCTCCTCCTTGGCAAAACATCTGCCAGAGAAGAGCCATGTCACCCACGGAGCACTGGGGAAGGAGTAGTGCAAGCCCTGCTCAGGCACAAGCATAGCTGAAGCCATCAGAAAGATGCTGGTGAGCGATGGGCCTGGCTGCTGGGCACACCAAGTACTGCAAGGCAATGCTTTCCCCCGTTATGTTCCTCTTGAAGGTATGTAAGGGAAGGCAAGACAGTTTTCAATCAGTGTGTCTTTGTGCTGAGACATTTGAGGAGCTGTAAGCATAGCCATAAAAAGCATATCCCCAAACACAGAGGTGAAAACAGTGCTGGTGTGTTGTGGTGCCCTGCCCGTGCCCCATTTCGCTCAGAGGGGCATGGGCAGGGAAAGCAGAGCACTCTTCTGGCAACCTAATTCAAAATACAGGGCACAGCAATGGCTGGAATGAATTAGTCCCCATTTGTAATTTCTTGGCCTGTAGGGAGGAGAGCTGGCACCCCAGACTTTGGCACACAGAGACAGGATCATCCCCTCCACAAGATCCCCGGGCACGCAGCTCTCCCCACGCGAAGCGCGACAGCAGTGCTGAGCGTGATGCAGGGCAGGGCAGCGCTGTCTTTTCTTCCTTTGATGGGCATGGGACACGCTTTCACATGGTACAAGGGTTGGTTTTTATTTTCTTCCCTTTTTTTTTTTTTTTTTTTCCCCCTTTTCTATTTTAACCTTCTTTTAGCTTCAGGTTTGCTTGTTTTTTGGTTTGTTCTTTTTTTTCCAAAAGGTTTATCAATTATCAAAGGTTTATCAACTGACAGAATACACTTGTTTCTCGTAAAAGAAGCATTTTGACAATTTTCACGTGTATAATTTGCTTAAGGACCATAATGGCTTCTTCTGAGCCATGTGTCATGTAAATAAATATTCCAACAATTTTTAACATGCATATTATGTACTCCATAGATCAATGACTCCTTTGAAGCTCTTACAGTTTATCCTGTAAGTTCCTATTCAGATGTTTTTAAATATGCAGCGTTTTATTCAACAGGCTAACTTTTCATTCAGAGGCACTGGTGTCTATATTTGTAGCAGTCTAGCATCTACATCTTGTTTAAAATATTTAAAAATCTATATTGCTTACCCTTCTCAGAAGGTTGGAAAGATCCCCATAAAAATGTGGTAACAGGAAAGATTACTTCAAATGAGTAAGACTGAAACATTTTTGGATCAGGTTTTTAAGACTTTGTCTTCTGTTCCCTTTTACCTTCTCCAGCAGTCCTGGAAACACACATGGCCAGAAATGTAGGCTGTAGTGCAGGTAGTGAGTCCTTGGGAGGGCTTGGGAGGGGAGCAGTGCCTGGCTCCAGAAGGATGGGTGGACGGGGTGCCACGGGCCAAACATTTCCCTTTGACTTGGGATGTGTCTGTGCAGAGACTGGGGGATCCATCCCGGCCCCAGGGCTTCAAGTGCCAGCAGAGTTTTGTTGGGGCTTGGGGCGTTTTTGGGGTGCAGCTCTGGGGGAACTCCATGCCAGGCAGCCAGCAGAGCCAGGGGCATGTGAAGGTGCAGGGCACATGGAAGCAAAAGCATACACACAGATCACTTCATGCCTCCACAGCTCAGCCAAGGCAAATCCTTTCCTGTTCCCAGAGAGTGGGGGAAGTTATATCCTCACCTCAGCAGAAAGCCCAGTGATATCCCAGGTCCTTGCAAGAGTAGCCCGTGTAATAAGTGGGTCTGTGACCTCAATGCAGGCTAATGAAGGAGGAAAACCAGGGCTGAGAAAGATAAAGTTCTTATTTAGATGCAGATGTCTGCAACAATAGAGGTGGAAACATAAAAAATTGCTATCAGATTCATTTGCTTGTAATATGAAGGCTTTTGTCTAACCATGTTTAAACAGTCCCACTCCTGTGTTTAGTTTACTTGTGTTAATATCCCCCCGAGGCTTCATCATTTGCTATTGATGAGAATACAAAAAAAAAAAAAA